CGATCGATATAAATTGATAAATATCTTCCATAAAAAAAATGATACTTTCCTAATTTCGTATAAAATTAATAAAACAACATTGAAAAAAAAAATTGCATCATAGTAACAACGACGGGAACGAGATATGATTCACAGATCGAGCACTTTAATCTAGATTAAACACTACAAATCCACGAGCGTTATTCCAACCGAGTTAAGACAATCCAGATTCCGGAACAAACAAACCCTAACCAAACCGAACGCCACTGCCTTCCATCAAGACATCGACTTACCGCGCGAATCCTCCTCGCTCCTTCTCGGCCTGACGGAAGTGCAACGAGGTCGTCCAACGTAAAAAAAAAAAAAAAAGGAAATAAAAGGAGAAAAAAGAAGAAGAAAAAAAAATAAATGGCGAAACTGGAGGGTTTTGCGACAACGTGAAGGCGAGACAAGTAGCAGGTGGCTAATGTCGGGAGTGGCGTCGTGAAGGAGAAGAGGAACGTGTGTACACAGGCCTTGCTTACAGGCTGGCGAACGAGCTAGATAACGCACGTCTCGCGCCGACAATGGGCTCATACGAGCGCCTCTTTTAATTAAGTGGAGTCAGCTCGAAGCCGGGGGGAGAAAAAAATTTATTCACCGGGAATTATATTGGTTCGTGTACTCGAAGGGTGAAAAACAGGGGGGAGAGCGGTTTTAACGGGAGTGGTCCTTCGTAATAAATGCGAGCCCACCCCCACTGGAAAGGCTTTTGTCTTTTTCTCTAATGATCCGATGAGGAGATTAGCTGCGTCCCTCCTGCTAAATTCTCTATGCTTGGTATTCTATGTTTTTTATTTTTCGTAGTTTCTTTTTTTTTTTTTTTTTGGTGAAAGAATATGGTTCGGTAAATGGATATTTTTTTTTTCTTCTTTTTGAGGAAGGATGGCAGAAAAAGGAATAATTTATATGGAAATAAAAAATTCTAGTATCTTGTCCGAGTTTGTTATATATGCACGTAATTTTTACCTCTTTTTCTTTTTATTTTGAATAATTTTTTTGTTTCTCTATTTTTTGTTTTTCTTTTTGAAAATGACGGTATAGAGAAATATATTCGTACCTCGTGGAAATAAAATTCTAGTCTTATCTGAGTTTGTAATTTTTATCCCTTTTGAATAATTTTTTGTATCGTCTTTTTTTTTTTTTTTAAAGATAGTAGAAAAATATTCGTATTTTATGGAAATAAAATTCTAGTATCTTACGAGTTTGTTTGTAATTTTTCTCTCTTTTTGAATAAATTTTTTTCCAAAAGACTGGTGGAAAGAATACACGAATAGAAAAATTCTCCAGTATCTCGACCAAGTTTGTTTGTAATTTTTTCATTACCTTTTCATGCAGTATACTTTACAGTAGAATAAATTTGAATTTCTCGTAGTCATATTTCACGTATCCGGTGAAATGATTTATTTTATATTTCTTTATAACGACTAGAGAAAAAAAAAAAAAAAAAAAA